ATACCGATACTTTTATTTTTGGTACTTGCCGATACCAAGTACCGATACCAATAATTTCATTGCATTTGTACATTTTTACAATATTGGGTACAGAAACCAAAAGAGTATGTATAATGTTAGTTGGTTAACTTCATTTCTCAAATAGATACAGTCTTCTGATCGCACGGCAAAAACAAATGATGCTCTTCATTAGTATATTTTGCCTTGTTTTCCAGCGCAAATATCTAAAGATTCTTAAATCAAGATACATTTACTTGAGAAGCTAAATGACTTGTTATCTGTAAAATTAGTCTAAATTTAGTGAGTTTGTGACTTAATTCAAAGGGAAAACAAGTTTTTGACCGATATTTGTTCTGTTTTTAAACAAACGCATGTAATTTTGTTCAAGCTCACATTCATTTTGCATCTCAAGTAAATGTATCTTGATTTAAGGATATCTGTAAAACAAGAAAATACCGAGGAGTCATTTTTTGCCATTTATGCCATGATTTGATGAATTTGAGCTCGGATTTAAGACTAAGAATTTGTGGAAGGGTGAATTAGGACTTTTTAAGACCCACAGAAATGAGTCATGGGTTTTATTGGTTAAAAGTGTGCCAGAGTTCAGTTTGGAAAGGTTCCAGCTGTGACAGCCGATAAAGACGTTGGTGTTTTTTTGTTTTTTTTTCTGCCAGGGTCCAGATTATCACTTTCCCTCAGGCACATTCTTCACTGCCCCCACCCACCTGCCTAAAATAAACCACGGGCCTTAACCCTTTCCACACAGACGGCAGCACAAACTACACCAAACAAACTAGTGTTATGATGCAACAGGTAAAATAAAACATTAGTGTGACGTTGCAACTGGGAGTATCATCACGTATTCACGTTCTCGTATTCAGAACAGGAGCAGAGGTGTAAAGTATTCATTATACACCCATTCAAGTTCCACCCAATCATTGTGCAACATCTCAACGTACATTGAGCTGCTCGTCTTGATTGCATAACTGCCCACGATATTCACGTTTTCTGGCAACGACTTGATATGGAGATCAAGCTTGAACTGAATGCTAAAGCCCCGATAGCATTTCTGTCACCCGCTAACCAACAGTTGTAAACACCTGCAAACGCTTCACTCAGCACATCACATGCCCAGCATACGCACAATTACATGACCTTGCTCTCAAAAGCAGGGTACAAAATGTTCAAATCCAACATGATTGTTAAAAGAATAATAACCTGCAGTGCTCCGTAACCAAAAATCCCCAAGGAAGGGTAAAGACGGTCACAGCACTTCATGAAGCCAAGTCATAATGGGAAAGCAGTATTACAACGTAATGGAACATATTCACGAGAGTGCTACTGCATGGTGCCTTTCAGTTCCATAAATCAGCCACAAATGATCTTATGAACTAATGTTGACAAAAGTAAAACAGGGGTTTTCACTCAGTCAGTGAGCTCACGCTGCGGCTGAACTATCCACTTTTTCCTACGGCCCATGACGATTTGCGCAAATTATGGGAGTAACTTCCGTTTACACTGTAAACAATCAGCAATAAGCATTTTCAAAAACTGGGTACGATGAGGTGACATTATTTTCCTCACCCTTCAACAATCGATCATTAAAAGGAAATTTAAAAAGGTGTAAAAGCATCAACAAATTATTCTGAACATACCAGTAATAACTCCTCCTTCTATCCGCAGCAATATCACAGGAGAGTTAAATATCATGCGTGTCTATATTTCGTAACAATTACATTTTACAGCATCCGTGTGAATACAAACCTGGAAAGAGACATGAGGATTTGGGGAGAAAAATTTAAAGATTCTTAGTGCATTCCAGAGAATTATTCATGGTATATATTGTGAATTAAATCGGGAGGACAAAGGAAACATGAAAATAATCAGGAGGAAAATAATGCTGAAAAGAGCTATTCTATAGATATTGTTGTTATATCGCGTCACATTAATATACCAAACATAATGCTATTCTCCTGACTTCTGAAAATAGAAAGTGAATGAAAATTTACCTATGAATGACTTGAGTGGAACTTCCACAAACCGGAAGTGCCTCCCATAATTTAAAAGTAGGCTTGCTAGGAAAAAGCTGGATAGCTTCATTGATTATAAAGGGAGAGTTCTTTGCTCTCTTTCTGTACAAACCCATTCATAATTTGAATAAAAGTTAAATTTTTCATGCTGCTATGTACACACTGATAAGTACGACCGTATTAAAATGCAGGACTGAATCTGAAATTGCATTGTTTGACATAACCACAGCAACTGTCAAAATAGATTTGTGCATTAAGTCTTGCATTGTAAGTGCAATAGATCTACCTTTAATGCATTTCTTTGATATTTAATTACTTTCATTTGATCATGTTTATGTAATTGAATAACATTTTAAGGCTACAAGATAATGCTTTAATGTATTATTTACTTAATTATTAATGCTATTAATAGTTATAACACATTTTAATACATTTTCAAATCATTAATTTTGGAAATATTAAAATAAAATAGGTATCAACAACCATGGAATTTTACTTGTATTTTACTGGTACTGTGACAAAACTACTTGGCATTTAAAATAAATAAATAAGCTCTTTTTTTGGCTCTCAGTGTGTAACACAGCTGATTGACAGGTGCTGTTGTCTTGACCGCTGCTCCAGATGAAGACTCTTCATTGGCTCAAACAGCAGGGCAACCAAACTCTTCCCGTCTCTAGGAACTAATTTAAAACGAGTCCTTCAGTGTTCAAAGTTCATTTCGAGAAACCAACAAATAATATGCATGTATGGGATTCTGCATGATCCGGCATTTGGCTTCATGTTCTGAGACAATCTGTAATTATGCCTTGAACCTTTCTTTATTTCAGCTCACGTGACAGCATAACAAGCCACAGCCTGCACTTACGAGCTAAACAACCACAGCTAATATATAGCTGTGTGACAGATAATGTGTGTTGGGGATGTCAGTGTTTGATATATGGTTCAGGTTTAACAAATAGCAAGAACACACATAAATGCATGAAGTAATACATTTCCACAATTTCAGGATCACAGCTACAGGCTGGTAGGACAGCGATCTTGGAATTAATGCATCTAGCTTGCAATTAGTTGTGCACCAACATAATTAAACTACAAAATGTGTGCAATTAGATGTAGTGTTTTTGAGCAGTGCTGCTCAGATGAACTCAATGCCTCTTGCTTAGTTCATGAGTTCTGCTTTCATAACCCACTTAGCCAAGTTATTTCCTCAAGTCCTGCATGCTGTTGTTGCTTGCAAATATTTATTTGAAAGACTGTTTTGCTTCAACAAACTTCTCCAGGCACAACCCCTTCAGAAGATCATTAGACCGTAACGCTGCTATATCAAAGTAATACGCTGCCACTGCATATAAATATTTGCATTAGGACTAGTGAAAGCAACATATTCTATTCTTTACACAATATTTATCCTACATACCTGCAAGCATCCAGGTGTGTTTATTTGGTCTGTATTTTTTTAGACTAACATCACTGTAGCAGGACCTGTTTTAGGTGTTCTGCTTTCATAACCCACTTAGCCAAGTTATTTCCTCAAGTCCTGCATGCTGTTGTTGCTTGCAAATATTTATTTGAAAGACTGTTTTGCTTCAACAAACTTCTCCAGGCACAACCCCTTCAGAAGATCATTAGACCGTAACGCTGCTATATCAAAGTAATACGCTGCCACTGCATATAAATATTTGCATTAGGACTAGTGAAAGCAACATATTCTATTCTTTACACAATATTTATCCTACATACCTGCAAGCATCCAGGTGTGTTTATTTGAATTTATAGAATTACCCTGTCTACCAGGACAGTCTGAAATTAATGCTTGGGGCAAAAAACACCACCAAAGTCAACAAAAATGGCATTTCAAGATTCAAGATAGGAGGGCAAAAAAATAATACCCTGCACAGTTTAGCAGGATCTAAATCTACATGAATGAAAAGTGTCGATTGCAGCATTACATTTACAGGAGATTTGCTCATGTTGCATCAGTATTCACTTTGCAGCGTTGAGCGTTCTAACCAACCACGAACGTTTCTGTTGAGCTTGTAAATGCAATGGCCAATCAGAAGTGTTCTGATTCATCACCGTGGAGAATGCTAGAGTTGTTCAGTTACTCACTGATGCAATTCTGAATTTTCATTCACCAATTCTCTCATCATTCTAACCAACAAATCCAGAAAACATGTAAGTAAGAGTCATTTTGCAATGTAGACAGCTTAAGTGATTATAACGGGAGTTTTTGCAAAACTCTTTAAACACTTCAGTGTTCTTTGTTGGCTTTCTTTATATAATTTACTCCCATTTTTTTTAATGCTAGTGAAATAACCAGTGTGATTTTCTAATGCATAAAAAGAAACCAATTCATATACCTGTTCGTAGCTTATTTTGTCTGTAGCCAGAAAAAAAACGTACTATTAATTGACTTTATTAATCATTACAACAATATCAAGAGCAATAATGATTTTGTCATTGCAGCTTCACCCTCTAATGAGTTCCTGTTTTTTAATTTGTAGGCTATTTACATCATGCAATTTGTGTAAGTGTGTGTAAATAAACATAGGCGCCATGTCAGATGCAACTCCTGTTCCACCTTTGCAGATGGCTTTTTTTGATTTTGAAAAAAAAAATTTTTTTCAGAAAATCCTAATTCTTCTGTTGAACAAAAAAGAAGATAGTCTGAAGAATGTTGGTAACCAGACAGTTGCTGATAGCCATTGACTTCCATGCTTTTTTTTCTCCATAAAATTGAACATCAACTGTTTGGTTACCCACTTCCTTCAAAATATCTTCTTTTGTGTACAACGGAAGAAAGGAACTCGGACAGGTTTGGAATAACATGAGGGTGAGTAAATGATGACAGAATTCTTGGGTATTTGACATAAAACAACACAGGTATATTTAATAAGGCAATTATAAAAACACCCCTGGAAATTCAAATGTTCAAATGTTGCCCCCTTAGTGTACAAGTTAATTTCTGACCTGTCTGAACTGCTCCTCATAGGTCCAGTCTGCATGGTCCTGTCCATGGAGTGGCCCGTGGGATGAATGAGCGGAGTGAGTCAGTGGCCGCGGTTCGCTCTCAGAACCAGGCCGAGCCTTTAGCAGCTGGGAGTGAGGGTGTAAGTGGCGGTGGGATAAGAGGAGGATGCCTCTGCCTGGGGTGACGGCCTCACGGCCCGACGGCAGCCCTTCATCACCTAGATCGTCATCATAATCTTCCTCCATCTCACCCTCAAAGTCATCTTCATCCCATTTCTGTTTTCTGCACAGAAACACATGAGATGAAATGTTAGAGAGGGACGCTTATTAATTCAGGCAAATTAAAACATTAATAATGAATGAAACACAATTAAATATTGCTATGGTTTAATTGCCATCCAAATTTAAGTTCTGTTAAAATGAGAAAATAATTTACAGAAAGCAGCAGCTACACAGTAGACTTGTACATTTTTTTGAAGACGCGAGGGGATATTTGTCTAATTTCTTTTTGTCATCTTTACAGTTTTGTTGAAAGATTTTTGGAATTTATGGCTCAAATTAGATGTTATTTTTATTTCCCTCAACATTACACATACACTACATGTTAAAAGTAGAATAATTAAGATTTATGTTTTTGAAAAGTCTTTTATGCTCACGCATTTTTTTGAGTAAAAATACATTAAAAACAGTGATATTGTGAAATATTATTACAATTTAAAAGAGATGTTTTCTATTGTAATATATTTTTAAATGCATTTTATTCCTGTGGTTTAAAACTTCAGTCTTCAGTGTCACATGATCATTCAATATGTTGATTTGGTACTTTATTATTATTGATAATTGAGTCTCAAAGTCATCTTCATCCCATTTCTGTTTTCTGCACAGAAACACATGAGATGAAATGTTAGAGAGGGACGCTTATTAATTCAGGCAAATTAAAACATTAATAATGAATGAAACACAATTAAATATTGCTATGGTTTAATTGCCATCCAAATTTAAGTTCTGTTAAAATGAGAAAATAATTTACAGAAAGCAGCAGCTACACAGTAGACTTGTACATTTTTTTGAAGACGCGAGGGGATATTTGTCTAATTTATTTTTGTCATCTTTACAGTTTTGTTGAAAGATTTTTGGAATTTATGGCTCAAATTAGATGTTATTTTTATTTCCCTCAATATTACACATACACTACATGTTAAAAGTAGAATAATTAAGATTTAAGTTTTTGAAAGAAGTCTTTTATGCTCACGCATTTTTTTTTTGTAAAAATACATTAAAAATAGTGATATTGTGAAATATTATTACAATTTAAAAGAGATGTTTTCTATTGTAATATATTTTTAAATGCATTTTATTCCTGTGGTTTAAAACTGAATTTTTAACAGCTATAACTTCAGTGTCACATGATCATTCAATATGTTGATTTGGGTCTTTATTATTATTGATAATTGAGTCCCACTAATAAAGACTTAAATAAATGTTATTTTTATTATCAATGCTTTAAACAGTTTTCGCTGCTTAATATTTATGTGGAAATCATGATACATTTTTATTTTCATGATTTGCTGATGAATAGAAAATTTGATAAACAGAAAAACAGCATTTGAAATAAATCTTCTGTAACTGGAGCAGAAATAAAATCCTGTTATTAAAGTTGACATAAAAAGGCAAGTGCAATTTAAATGTTTGCATAACTCCGTATTGATTATTAAATACATCTGATCAATTAATTGATTATTAAATAGCATTTATTTTCCATTTCGGGCCAGAATTTTTAAGGTGCATCACGGATAAATCACAATATTTATTAATTTACGCTGGAAAAAAACAAACACAAAACACCACATTTTTGGAATTGATTCTTTTTATTCAATTCATAACCATTTCAAGATAAAAAAAAAATGGCAGAAAGCAGCAGGCAGTATATTCAAAGTCTTCTGAAGCCACAAAATAGATAAGAAAAAGATTGAAAGTCTTTATTCTATGCATACAGTACTTTGAAACCCATTAATAAGTTAATGATAGAAGAATGACAGATGAATATTTTTATTCAGTTCATAAAATTGATCAATTTGCTCTTAATAATTCAAATGGGACTTTCAAGGTTCAATATTCACCTCTTCACTAAAACTTGAAAAATACATAAAAACGGCACATTTTTAGATGTGATGATGCAAAAGTGAATCATTGAATCATAATTCAGAATTAATAGAATAACAGACTGAACACAGTTTGAACCGATTCATGAAAACCAAACAAACTTACCAACTCTAACGCAGCTTTTGCAATTGAAGAGTAAATCAAAAACACCGTCTTCATACTTTTACGCACAGGACATGACACAAGAAATACATAGCCTATTCCATGATCATTTTCTGACTTAAGCGGTGCAGTCTTGTGTTATAAGGAAATGATCACATTTGCATTTCATTATTTGTCATCAGTTATGTCCACACCTTATGCATCTGTAAACCCTTCATCTGAAATCACCTTGACACAATGTCTACACTTCATGTGATGCTTCGTTGACTGTATTGGGAGTTGTCACGTTATGATGCTCAAGGTGCTGGCTGGATGGTAAATTTGCCTGAATTACTCCCGTTTTCTCCATTTCCTTGTTTATAGTTTTAAAAGTTAAACTTGTTTAATCAAATCATCTCTACAATGAGAGTGTCCTTCTCCCTAATAACACTTTTGACCATTGTTTCTCAAGACATCTCAAATCCATCTTTTTTGCCCGAGTATCTTGTGCATTGGAGGCCTGTGGCCGTAAAGCAGCATTTTAAACTTTTCAACGCTGAGAATATTGTGTTGCAGACAATGACATTCTCAGTGTCATGCAAGATCCTATTCCCCTGCAGAAAACTATACCTCTTTATCAATGTCCAATAAAAAGTTATTGTGATATCTTCTCTGGATAAGCTCTGGATGAGAAACAGTAAGGCTTTTCTGGCACATCACGCAAACATGTTTGAGCTTCCAGAACCAGTAAGGTTTATGTACTGTATGTTGTGTTTTTATGAACTACTAAAGTGCTAATGTTTTTTGGAATGAACGTTCAATGGAGGGTCAGAAATCTTTGAGAGTTCATAAAAACATCTTAATTTGTTTTACAAAGATGAACAAAATTCTGATGGGTTTGTGGACTGATATGAGGGCAAGCGGTTACTGACGGAATTGCAATTTTTAGGTGAATCATCCCTTTAACTAGGCTGCATGATTTTTTTCACTCAAAAAAATAATCACAATTATTGACATTTTATTGACAATTTTTATTGCACTTTTACATAAGCACAAATCAAGAGAACTTCAACTTGCACGGTCTACGTCCAATCTGCATGTCGCAGCAAACAGCGTAAACAAGTGCGTGAAAGAGATCAGACAGAATTCGAGCAGAATAACTCCGAGATCGCTAAACTTCAACTTATATGTTTGCCAGTGTTTTCAGCTCATCAGCACTTTTTTCGTAATACAGAGAGAGTGTGAGTGTTGCCAGGTTGGGAAGATTAAGTAAACTACTGGACAGAAAATGTAGCGATTTAAGAAAAAGTTTTGATTGGGGATTTAAACTCTTGACATCTGGCAACCGCAACCACTTGTGAAGGCTCATTACCAATACAAGATAATGCCCAATTAAAAATAAATGTTTTTAGGATATATAACCAGCGGGCAAATACCACAGACGATTATGCTTAATAAATTGAGAGATGCAGATGTCATAAGAGCTATTAAAATACGATTTATCATGCAGCTCCTTCTGTAAGTAACCTGAACAGTTGTCCCCCCCCCCCCCAAATTTCTTATTTTCTCACCCTCAAGCTTTTCCAAACCTCTATGAATTTCCTTCATCTGGTGAACACAAAAGAAGATATTTAAAAAAAAATGTCAATAAGCAGACAGTTACGGTCAGCCATTGGATTTCCACAGAAATTTGCTCCATTCTAATAATGTCAAAATGTTCATTTTTGGGTGAACCATCCCTTTAAAAAACGAATTTGTTGAGGATTCAGCGGGAGAGGGCGGTATCTTGCATGACACCGGGAGTTTATGGGTTAAAACACAGAGCTGGATGATTGTGAAGTCTGAGCAAACACAGTGGAGATAAAGACAGCACTAAGGGTCTAATTCCACACTGATAACCAGCGTCAGGCTGGCCTACATCCAGATTCACCACAGGGATCTGAAACCCATGCATTTACACCATACATTCAATAATATCTATTACTTACTCCTGGCTGAACAGAAACGGATATGTCATGGTGAATGTGCACAAAGAATAGCGATTACCGTTTTTACTTTTAGGCGTGTGACAGTAAAAAGTGCAAATAGATAAAGACAAACAAGTTGAAAAGGTTGGCACTTTAATATCTCTAATACCTGAAGTGCATGACTGCACAGACCAACTCAGCCTGTTTTATAAGTGCAATGCAAAGTAATGGAAATGAAACCGAGATGTTCCGGCCCGGTGACATTTTTTACTCCAGCATTGAGATCTCAGGATTATTATAAATGTCAGATCTGTTTTTGGAGAAGCTACTTTGAAGCTTCTCATAATATCGAGTCAAAATAGATTCCATTTCCAGAAGCATTTAATAAAAAGTAATAACTACCAACCGTTTTAACAAACTCGCATTCAGTATGCTTACATTCTCGAATACCATACTATCCATTTGTGGTGCATAAAATTAAGTCCCTTTGTACATTTTTCTCTTTACATCACAAAGAAAAAGGGTTGCAAAGCATTTATTACCACTGAATAACACTAAATAGGTTTAATATTAATTTGCATCAATCTAGTTTATAATAAACATCCAATATGATACACAGAAACCAAACTACATTTGGTAATTTCACATCAACAACATTTAAATATTCCTCATGGGGACTGAGAATTAAACACCTGTTAATCAAACTGGTTATGGCAGATCAGTTGTCACGCTACTATACATACAAAGGAAAAGCACATTCAAATCTCTGTGCTTTCTAAATGTCTATAGTGGAATCTTAAAGGGGAAATTTTGTGCATCATTGCAAAATGATTCTCATGGTGTCAGGCTCAATACTCAAGTGGCTACAGGACTTGAATGAGCATTTACAAACTAGCTGAAAATTATTTCTGATTTCTGGCCGTTTTCATTTTATTCCGATAATTCTCACTTTTAAAACGAGACTCACCTGGATCAACATATTAGCTCAGCTGAGAATTGATCATGTTGAGATTTTGAGAACAAATAATTATAAACATTTCCTGCAGTGGTTAATCAATAGGCTATAAGTAGGGTTTAAGTGCTTGATGCTGCAAACACATAAACTGCAGTGTGACTGATATAGTGGCAACATAGGCTAATACAGTTTTATTTTAAAAACTGAGATGTGCACATCTATGCTGTAAAAAGTCAACATCTTTACACAATATAAAGATGCAAACTCAAAATTCAATAAAAACAGAAATTGACAGTTGTTAGACTTGACAAATGGAAGACATATTCTATCATTATTTTATTATTAATAAACAAATTATTATTTAAGGTAAGACGTGACAGGCAAAAACACTGTTTTTTTTTTCATCCATTGGTCATATTTGAGATTTGGGGCTTGAGGTTTGGCTTTTCATAAAATGTTTCAAACTAGTGGAAAGAAAATATTCAAAACACACTTTCAAGTGTTGCTTTTACTGCACTTTATCTATTTGCATTTGTAGATTTCAATTTCAATACACATCTTTAAATATTTTCTCAAAATGAGTCTTTTCTTCTGCACTAAGACAGAAATATCCACTTTAGCATCACTAATATAAACATATTCCTATCTATTTTCATTGTAATTTCTTTTTCTTGCTGTTGACCGTATTTTCAGAATTATGGAGAAAAAAAAAAAAAAGAGAAATCCAAAATGCCTTCTGTAAAAACCTTTGACTGTAATGTATTGACAAAATGAAACCGATTTTGAAACCGGCTAAATCCAGTGCTGAGAATTCTCTTCTTGAAATGTATGCAAAATAGTGCATATTTAAATATAACATTTCAAAAAACTTGTTTTGTGTGTGTGCGCGCGCGTGTATATATATGTGTATAAATATATATTTATACACACACACACACATATATATATATATATATATATATATATATATATTTATTATTTACACAAAAATATATATGGGGTTTCCTGAGGGGAAAGAAGTAATCAAAGTGTGATTTGTTGCTGGTTTTGGGCAAGAGAAAACCACTTCACATCTAATTACAGCAAGAGATCCTGAGCTCGAATCTCAAGTGTCCATCTGATGTCTCTTGAAACCGTATTTTCAATGTTTCAGAGAAAGGTGAGCCAATCACGTAACTTCATTACCATCTCTTAAGCGGTTCCCATGACGATGCCGTGTATAAGGGCTGTGGACAAATCTGAAGGCGAAAGCGTGGGCCTCCACATACATGACACTTCCTTCCTCAGAACAGCACGAGAACAGAAGCGCAACCATGATTTCACATGTCTGGCCCTGACCTCTTGAGGATATTGTGCCATTGAGAAGACTTGACACACAACAGATGAGAGGGCAAAGCATTTACTAGTACACACGAACAAGTTTCTTCCTTAAAATGAGGAGAAAAACTGGTACTCCTAACAAACAGTGCAAGTAAACATAAAAATCCAAAAGGATCCAAAAGTAATAAACTGCAATCATGTTTAATACTGAAGGCACTTATAGTCTAAAAACAAAGTCTTCAACACCTTCTCTTCAAGGACAGGATGTAACATAACTCATCTCAGATTTACAGCTTCAAAGGAACCAATATGACGCAAGAAACCAGATTTCATAGTAGTAAACACAAACAACCAAAAACGTGCGTCAACAACGAGCGGAAGTCTGGAAGGCATGCGGCAAATGCAAAAGACTCATTCATTCTGCTTATGTAAAAAAACACATTTGGCAACACTAGCACTACTGAACCCACAAAAAGCGGAATTTTTATTCTGGAATCAACCATCATTCAGGAATAAACCGTTTGCTTCTCTATCGACTACGGTCTCGGTAACCTTTAGGGCAAACATTAAAATAGCAAGCCATGTAAAGAAAGCAAAAATCTGAATCAATCGTGTTTCCACAGATCTTTTTTGGAGTTTCAAGCCAAATATTGTCAAGATTTAGCTAGTATAGAAGACGCTAAAGCATAAATCATTAACAATAATCTGCAAAAATACAACAAACTGCAATGCTGGAATTAAAAAGAGAGTTTTGAAAGAAACCAATAATATGCTGCTTTTATGTCACATGACTAGTAGCCTACCAGCATACTCTAAGAAAACAAGGTACAAAAGCTGTCACTGGGGCAGTACCATTTCAAAAGTTACTAATACATTCCATTTAGGTAACTAATATGTACAGTTTGGTACTAATATGTACCGTTAAGATACGAATATGCACCCTACAGGGATAAAAAAAAAAAAAGGTACAAGTGTTCTTTTTAAAAAGGTACCGCAGCAAAGTGAAAACATTTCAAATTCATAAAGTGAATAAATGTTCAATGAAATTCAGCTATTCTGTGTCTACGTCTCACTTGCTCATCAAATTGCATTATATTACAGTACTATAAAATCTTCATCTCAATGCATCAGCAGAAATTAAAAAATATATATTAATAAAAAATTTTAAAAAAAGACCACAGCACATTTTATTTTTTCACCAAGGCTGTTTTCACCCTTGTGACATGGATTATGATCCTTTTATGACCTCAATCAAGACGACATTGTGGAATATTAGTAATACTTTAAGAACACAGCTAAATGTTTATTCCAAATGGTGAAAAACCTGAAGGAAATGTTGAGCAGATACATCACATAAGATATACACATTCCTGTACATTCATCCTGTATATTAGTCCCACAGATGTGTTGCAAGTTGACTTACACCATACTGAAAAGCTTGTTAACCTACGAAATGTACATTATCCCTATGAACATTTACTCCATCTCTGATATGTCCAATAGTCGATTACAGATCAACTATGCAGCAGTTTTTACCACATTTTCCATGCACTAATTTTTGTCAATCTGATTTCAGATTCTAAAAGATCTGTTTATATGAACACTATTTTTTTTTATATAAATGCCAGCTCTCTATATAAAAAGTTGGATATATCCAACTTTTATATCCAATCCGCTACATACAGAATGCTCACGTAAAACAATGCATATACTGTAACACAAATCGTAAAATTTTTTTACACAATATAGAGCTGGATGATAATATATGAGTGAATGATGACAGAGCTGTTT